GGTGGGAAGGGGAGGGAAGGGGCAGGTCTGGCTATGCAGTATCCTGGGCACAGGGCAGCAGAGGGCAGTGGGAATTGCAAGTCTCCCTGCGGTGGGTGGGAGAAGGGGATATCTCCACGGTGTGACTAGCTAGTGTGTAGGGCCCGTGAAGTTGCACTGGGGCCCGCAGGGTCTGTTTCTTTGGTACCCTGGGTGCCATGCAGGTGTTACCTTTTTCTCTGTAGACCTTCATCTTGGGGTAACCCAGCAGGGAGTCGGAGCCCATGAGGACGGCTAGGACGTGGGCAGCCAAAGGGGGATGTGGGATCTGCAGTGACCAACCAGCCTCCGGCTCAGGCCCTAAAGCTGCTCTCCGGAGTGGATCCTTGGAGGAGAATCTCTGCCGCTGTGGAATGAACCTGCCAGACATAACTTCCAGTCTCTGTGCCGCCATCCCAAATGGGACTGTCCTTTCTATCGTACTTGTAGGTATGTCTTTGCGCCACCCCACCCCAATTGCCAGACTATCCGACCCCTCTTAGCCAACTTTAAATTATCCGCACAACCCCCGTATAAGGGCACGGGACCACTACACCCATTTCATGGAGGAAAAACTGAGGCATAGATAGACTAACTATGATCACACAGGAGACCTGACCCCAGCTCCCCCTGCTCGACCCCACTCCCTTCCCCAAACCAGGGATGGACCCCAGGAGTCGTGGATTCCAGCTGCCCTGCTCTGACCTGCTTGACCCCACTCCCTTTCTAGAGATAGACCCCAGGCCCCCACTAGATCACACTACTCCCCTCTCCAAAGCCGGGATGGACCCAGGAGTCCTGCTTCCCAGCCTCGTGCCCTATCCACTGACCCACCCAGTCCGCCCAGACAAATTGCCAATTATGAGGGACTCTCCTCATTCCTTCCTACCTGCCTGTCCCCTCCTGGCCCGTACAGATCCTTCGGGGGCTGCTTCTCCAATCCCCAAGTGTTCCCAGCCGCTGAAGTGCCTGCCGAGATGGGGCTGGGAGCCCGGCCTTGCCCTCAGCAGTGCTGGACAGTTGGAATAAGGTTCGGGGCTGGAGGCCAGGCAATCTCCCACCCTGCTGGGTTCGGTCCTCTTCCTTCTGAGGGGGCTGCCAGGCCAGCAGCCTGGAAAACAACTCAAAGTGCAACGCGACGAGGAGAGCGGACTTTCATCCCAGTCACAGGTCACTTCTAATCGCGCTGGATCGGGACATGGCAACGCAGGAGACAGCTAATGCCCTGTGCTGAGATAGCTGCGGCTTGTGCCTCTGGGCGTGGAGGCAGCAGTAACAGTCAGGACTCCTGGGTTCTCTCCCTGGCTCTGGGAGGGGAGTGGGGTCTAGTGGGTTAGAGCGAGGGGGGCTGGGAGCCAGGACTCCTGGGTTCTCTCCCGGCTCTGGGAGGGGAGTGGGGTCTAGTGGGTTAGAGCAGGGGGGCTGGGAGTCAGGACTCCTGGGTTCTCTCCCGGCTCTGGCACTGGTGGTTAG